TCTGCTTCCCCTAAAGCAGTGGCAATCATTTATACAATCATTGTACAATGAGGAGAAGCATGAAACCAGAATCATAGATATTATTCATGTTTTGTCAGTTACACTGTCAGTATTTATAAGAAAAAAAAATAGAAACAAAATTTGTCCCAGGTTCTAACCCAGTATTGAATTGTTTGTTGCACACTGATATGATTATCAGCATAATCATTAGCTTTACACTAGTTGGATGTTCTTAAGTTCCTGTCCCCACAGAAACGGGCCCATGACATTGTTCTGAATCCCGTATTTAATTCTTCCTGTCTCCCTTTTTTATGTAGAATGGGTGAGTTCTTTAATTTGGATATTTTTTTTTCTTGATATGCTTTTCTATGTAGCCAAGGCTGCTCTTCAATTCACGGCTATCCCCCTCAGCTCTCGAGTGTTGGGACTGCTGTGTGAAGTACCAGACAAAGGCCATTTTTAAATTTCATTGTTCTTTTGAAATGCCTGACACTGTGTCAGGTTGTATTCAAAGTTTGCCATATGAACCACTTTGAATGTACACTGTAGTTATTTTAAGCAGATTCAGGAATTTGCAGAAGCCATGTTCAGAACTTGTTTGTCTCAGCAAACTTCAACTCTGTACACATTAAACAACTGTCCTTCTCTTCACTTCTACCTCCAGCTCTGACCACATCATTCTAATTTTTGTCTCTGAAATATTTACTGCTACATTTGGCACCTAATTCATAAAAATATTTTATATAACACTGAATGTTTATTCTATGCAGCAAAACATCACAATGATTGTATCGTGTGTAGCAGTATCCTAACACACAGGTCAAGAATGAGAAAACATACTCCAGCCGATTACTTGCAATGATTTAAAATCCTGAGTAAGGTGGTATTCTCTTAAGAGACTGTTAGGCAATTCTTCCAGGAATGTTCATAAGTAATTCCTAAATTAAAATTAAAACTTAACCCAATCTTTCTTCCCTTGTATTAGTCATAATACATTGTTTATAAAATGTTTTAGTATATCTATAATGTTTAGTATATTTAGTATATAAATATACTAAATATATTTAGTAAAATAAATATATATAAAATATATATAAAATATTTAGTATATAAATATACTAAATGTTTTAGTATATTTATAAAATATATTATATAGTATATTTTATATACTATAAAATGTTTTAGTATATTAATTTAATCTACTTGTAGCCTTTGTCTCCTTAATTTTACCAAATGCAATGGAGATCAGATCTTTATTTGCTGTGTACAGAAAATATATCTTAGTGCTGTAATCCCTTCCTTTAATATTTTGATCTTGAGAAACAATCAATACTCGAGCAACAAGTCAACAGTTATCAGATTTAATATTAAGAAGACAGTCAATAACTTTGCCTTGGAGTGATAATGACAACTACATTCTCTTCATTCATAAGGAATCTGCTATCAGCACCACCACCAACGTGTCAAGAGGTAGAGGGGGTAACTGTCCAGAGATTCGTTTAAAATAAATGATTTCAACACCAGAAATGTATGTATTACTTGGGTTGTGAGGGCAGCTTATTCTTTGGCCTTTTTGCTTAAATTGTGAGTATTCAGAACAGCAATATTACAATATTATTATTTTAATAAATATTTTATTAATTCTTTGAGACTTTAACACAATATATTTTGGTCATATTTGCCCCAACTTCCCTTAACTTCTCCTAGCTAGCAAATGATTTGAAAACAGACATCTTTTGCAGTATATATTATCATTGCTATTGATAGTCAGTATAGCCACAATATCATTCTTCATTCCCTTTAAAAAATACTTTAAGCTGGGTGATGGTGGCACAGGCCTTTAATCCCCATACTCTCTGGAGGCAGCGGCAGGCAGATCTCTACAGAGTGGGTTTCAGGACAACCAGGGCTACACAGAGAATCCCTATCTCAAAAAAAAAAAAAAAACCCTCCAAAAAGTACTTTGTTTTATGTTTTTATTGAAAGTGGCGAGGGCATGTTGATACCATTCATTAGTAGCCAATGCTTGTACCTGTTGAGACCTTTGCCTGCCTTCCTCATTCCTTTTTATAACCCTAAAGTATATTGTGCAAGTTATTAGAAAAATGAACTGATAAATGACTTGTGAATTTAATGAAATTCAAAGATACTGAGCATCAAAACAGAAGCTTTTCACTAATCAGAATCCACCAGACTCTTCAGCAAATGAAAGCAAATCAGTATTTCAGTTCAAGGTCACATGAGGTGCTGTGCCTACTCATTAGAAGGCTAAACAAATATTATACACATGAATGGGGGACAGCAGACTCCATATCATTGTACAAATTACTAATCCTTGGCAATTTTGTTAATCCATGATTCTTTCTTTCTTCATAGGCATCTATGTGAGGTTATGCTCCTGCAGATGCTCAGAGGCCCTATTCCTTTGAGTGACTGTTTCTCCCTGAAGACATGGTTCATACCATCTCAGCTAGACCAGAAGGTAGTTAAACTTAGGAATCTTCCTGTCTCTGCCCTCCTTAGAGATGGGTTACAGGCATTTTGGGGACACTAAGCTTGAGATGAGGGTGCGAGAGCTCCAGTCTTTGTAAGTGGATCAAGCCTACTTGATGGCTGATCCATCTCTCCAGAATGTTATTGTGAGTTAGTGCTCTGCTAGTGTGTATCCAAAGAGTTGATTAAAAAAAACAATGAAAGAGCCTGGCGGTGGTGGCGCACGCCTTTAATCCCAGCACTCGGGAGGCAGAGCCAGGCGGATCTCTGTGAGTTCGAGGCCAGCCTGGGCTACCAAGTGAGCTCCAGGAAAGGCACAAAGCTACGCAGAGAAGCCCTGTCTCGAAAAACAAAACAAAACAAAAAAACAAAACAAAACAAAAAAAATGCTGTATCTTATTGAAAAATTCAAAATGTATAGATTTTACTAGTGTGATTAGACCGATTAAATGTCTTTGATACTGGCCTTTCTCACAGGTTATGTGAAGGGACTGAACACACAGCTTGCTCATTCATCACAGAACATATTCTATATAGTGTGTGCCTTTTTCATCCTCCGGATACTAAATGACTTGGGACGTTTCTCATAACAAACCACTTTTGAAATAATGGTACAATAAGCAAAATCGTATTTTAAAAAGTCTTTCAGGACTAGAACTCAGGTTGAAAATCAATTAAGCAATGATTTGATTTTTCCTAGCATCAGAAGAGGGAAGTATACATGCAGTTATAATTTATTTATGTATAGCCACAAATACTCTATTCAACAATAATTTATTTATGGGTTATCAATTTATTTACATTTGTATTTATAAGATGTTCTCAATCCTAAGGTTGCTCTTAAAATATTTAATACACAATTTTGGTGGCCACAAAATAACTATATGTGAGTCAGGGGACAACACATAGTGATGTGGAGTCACCTACTGGGAGCATGTGGATCTAAATGTGGATGAGGACACCTGGGCAGGGCATTTTGGGTTTGTCTTTGGTGACTCATACTGTTTGGAAGTGAACAATAAGCAAACTGATTTCTAAGGGTCAATGTAGCTTATTTGTTTTGATTTTTATGATATCCACCATGTACTAAATTCACAAACTATCCTAGATTGGGATTTATGCTAATTTTCTATTATTTCTGATGATTTGTCATGGGTTCCTGGTTCCTTTTGTCATCACTCATTAGAAAGCATCTCTACCTCCACCATGAGAGGAAATGCAATGTGTCTGTCTTGTCTGGCAATGATCCTCTAATTTCAAATCCAGTCCCTAAACCCTTTCAGTACCCATAAACACTAATTAGATGGATACATATACTTTGAATATCTAGCATACAGGAGAGTAGGGTAAGCTGTGCCATCTGAAGCTTAGGCATTACTTATACTTGGATTTTAGCCTCAGCTTTATCACAGCTAAGAGACTTATTCTCCCAACTACATAAACAAAACCCGATATCTTTGGGCCCACGTTTTTCAGTGTTTTTGTGAGATGGAGTGAGTTATCTTGTGGATAACTCAAGGCATGTTAACTTTGTAAAAAGTCACACAAATACCCCAACTTCATCCAAAATAAATAAAGAGGGAAAGCTTTGGGGAAATAAGAGAACTTAGAAAATGTCCAGCAGATTTTATGTGCAGGAAAAGTTTGTCTGGTCATCACTTTAGAAGGAGAACTGAAAAGGAATTGTGAAAAGACAACAACGAAGTAAAGAAAAGACTCATTCCATTTGAAGTAGGCAAGGTGTATTTCAGAGCTCCATCTGTTAGGGAAGGATGTATTTTTCCCCCTCCTTCGTTGGTGATTCTCGAGGGTTAAATGCTCATTTGAATAAAGGTTGGGCAGATATAAAGTAGTTCAGGAACATTCTCCATGACAGTGAGAGAGACCATCACCTCTAAAGTATGAGAATATCAGAGAGACTGGAGTTGGGTATCATCTGCCTTCTTTCATTCACGATTGTCCCCACTAAGTTTATATGGTGAGTAAATTCTCCATGGGGATGGGTGGATCCCTCGAACTAATTCCGTATCCCGATGATGCACACTGGAAACGTTTTGCTGTACTACAAAAATCTCCTAATAACCTATTCATTTGTTCATCAGTGGACATCCCCCGTCCCAAAATGTATGTAGGTTTGGTCTTGGATTTCCTACCCTGCCCCAGAGCTGAGATCCGCCAGAGGAGAGACACCTGTGCCTCGGGGACACAGGTGACCACGTCCGTCACCTCCCCGCGCATGGCGCGCACATTCTCCCACTCTCAGCATCCCGGTCGCCAGGCGGTCCTCACTGGCCCCTTGGCACAAGGCAGGCCTGAGAACCCCGCCAGATGAGCGCTTGCACTTCGCACACCCTCTCCCCTCCGCCGCAGCCTCCTGTCACTCAGGCGACTCGACGTGCGGCCCCGCCCAATGATGGCCCGCCGTCTCCGCGGGCGCCCCGCCCCCGGACCCCGCTTCCAATGGGAGGCCGGCGGGGGCGGGCCGCGCGGGCAGCCTCTCCAGCTGAGGCCGCGGCTGGAGCCGGGCAGGGGCGCGGGAGAAGCAGGTACCGGCGCGGGCTGCGCAGCCCCAGGCGCGAGAGCTGCGCTCACTGCCTGCCGGAAGGACGGTCCCCGCGGGAGCCAGGGACCGCGGCGTCCGAGCGGGCCGGATTGGCGCCTGGCCCGGTACGGTCCGAAGTCCGCGCTATGGGAGAAGAGAAATACTTGCCTGAGCTGATGGCAGAGAAGGATAGCCTGGATCCATCTTTTGTGCACGCGTCGCGCCTTCTGGCGGAAGGTAGGACCGGCCCCCGGCGCCCGCCAGCCCGGGCAGGGCGAAGTTGGGGAGGGCGGGTGCTCTGCTGGGCAGAAACTGTCTCCCGGAGCCGCTTCCGAAGGCAGGAGCGCAGCGCTGGCAGCCCGGGCTCCTCCGAGGCTCAACTGCTAAAGACAGAAGCCCTGAGGTCTAATGGCAGGGTGATGCGACCTGTTAGGGTCCTGGACAAGGAAACCAGCAAGTGTCAGGTGGTCCACCGGGACATTTTCACTTCACAGAAGCCAGGGAAATCAGTTCAGGAGTAAATGCGATCGATCCATGGAGTGTTCTGAGAACGTCTTGGTTACAGATCAGCGTTATTTATTTTATATATATATATTTTTCCTTTGGCGTTTCGAAGTGGTTTTGATACCCTTTAATCAGTCTTTCCCCGCTGGAAAGTCTTAGAATTAATCAGCATTAAAGTATGCATGTTCGTGTATTTACGTGAGCGTGGTAAGCAGAGGCTAAAGTGCTTATAAACGTATTTGAAACGTGATGATTGGGTACTCTGCGAGATATTGTTCCCTAGGAACGCTCCATAATTGATCAACTGTTTTTTTTTTTTTTAAACCAGGTGTGCGTTTTCTTTTGTGTACCTGTGATGTTAGCGGAGATTTGGTTCCCAGAGGGGCATCTATGTCTTGCCTTTTGCATTGCTTTGAAAGGTCGTTTGAGAAGAGGCACACAAACTTCTCTGTCAGAAATATTAACCCCAACTATTCCATTTATGTGGAACAATTCTAGCTACTAAAGACACCCCAGATATCCAGTAATCTGCACAAGCCTATTTAACACAACGGCAGAATTTTTGGATGAATGTTTCATTAATAATGAACTGCTTCGTCTTCTAACTGGCTAGCTACAGTGTAGCTTCCTAGCTGGAGGTCTTACCCACTAAATGAATCAGTGACATCTTCCCCTTGTCCAGCTGCTCAGCATTAAAATAGATTTGAGAGTTCGTTTTGCATCGTAGAAAAAAAAATGCTCCTCATATGATTCAGAGACATTAGATTTATTTGACATTTTTACTGGGTTATTATTTATTATGACCTATAATAACAAAGAATTTCATGAAAGACTGCCGGGAAGAAATTTATAATCAGAATATGGAAGATTCGAAATATCTAAACTGTTTTTCAAGGGAAAGGCTGGCTTTGTAGAGTACTTGGGGAGTGAAATGCAGTCATGTTTACCACTTAACTAAAAATCAAATTATAACAAATGAAAGTGAAAAGCCAAAGTCAAGAACTATACTCTCCTCTACTGTTAAAGGGCAACTGTATAATCATTATAGGAGTATTGAAAAGGAATGACTTAGTAAGCATTAACAGATTAAAAATGTCTTCTTCAATTGTTCACATCAGTCTATTCTTTAGAAGTGTTTCCATTCAGTGTACAATGGGAAAAGAATACAAATTCATGATCTTCTCTGACCTGATAACCGGAGCTCTCTTTGGGACGGATGACTTAATCATCGATTCATCAGTTATGAATGTGTATTAATTGTGCTTTCAAAACTTACAAAACTAAGCGATATGGGTGAAAGTCTTAACAGAATGAGGTACACAGATATTCCTGACTAGTAAAACAGTTAAGAGAACACTAAGTACCCAGCTTCCTGGCATTTTTCTTTCCCAGGCACTAAATTTCTAGAGACTTAGGAAATTGTTCTAATGCACCTTGTAATTTAATTTTTTCCCAGCAGGGGGAAGCATGGACTGCTTTTGTAATGGATTAGGAAAAAAGCTCCAAACTAGAAAGGCATCTCAGTAAAACAAAAGAGGGTGCCTAAATTTCAGAGAATTCTTAATGAGAAAAGAGAAATAAGAAAGCAGTGACAGTAATCCGAGAGTAGCCAGATAGTTACATAAAAAGAACCACAGGGCGCACATCACTTCTGTAACTCTACCCGGGGTCTTTACAAATGCTTACTAGAGTGTAAGGTGAGTGTGCTGTGGATGCTCAGTGAATCATAATGCACATGTTGCATTATAGATTTTTTTCCATTGTCTTTTCAAAAGGCTATTTGTGAAGGTTTCTAGGATCACGGTAGAGATTTTATTTCTCGTACCTGGAAATGCTCTGTTTGAAGACATCGGCTATAAATAAACCTGACACAGATACTCAGACGGAAGGAAGGTGCAGACCGAGTACATTCCAGCAGTGCTGTGCAGACAGTCTTGAGACTGAGGGGGGCAATAAAAATGATCCAGATGATTCCATTCTTTGGAATGAGTCTCTAGAAGCAGTGATATAAAGCAGTGAGCTCTCACAATGACTTATTTTGCTCTGCGATTATTGATAGACACAAGCCTAAGCTTACGTGTGCCTGCTTCATTTAGGATGGAAGGCCATGGGCTTCAAATTACTTTAAGTTTTGGTTGTTTTCGTATCTTCATTGTATTTTATTATGTTTGCTTCTGTTTTGTGTTCGGTAGGTGTGATTCTAAAAAAAAAAACATTAAAAGCAAATAATTTATGAATCTGACTACTAGTCATAGCAGATTTTGAATAATATGGGTTAAGGTGTTTACATAATGTATTTAATTAGAATAACTTCCCTCCTGTAATTACAATTTTATGTAATTACTCATTTGTTATGAAAGATGTTTTCTAAGTGTGATAATAGAACAAACTCAGCATGATTCTTAAAGTTCTGGCCCAGGTCCGATTTTGCTTGAGCATTGGAGTTACATGAGGCTATTTATAGCTTTGCTACCTCCATTTAATTCCATGTTTATTTAACCTGAATTTTGTAAACTTTCCCTCCCTGGGCCCAGTTTTCTTGTCTCAAATTCAACAGTGAGACTAGGAGACCTGTATATTTCTGCAATTCGTATTTACTCTCAGATGTTTGCTGATGCGAAGTGGTGATGTTTACATACGCAGAACAGGAAAATCAATAGCTAAAAATTTTGAAACTTTTTCATTCCTTCCTAGTTTAATGATTAATAACATATTTACTGCACTATAGTGCAATTTGAGGCATATATATTATATTGGACAGTGGAGAAAGATTCATGTTCTTGAGTCTATTGAATTACTTTGAAGGCTCGGGTCTCCTGTGTATAATATGTGTGTGAACATATGCTTGTTTTCATTTGAATGTGCTGTGTGACAGATTCACATTTTTTGATTCTATTGTGACATTTTATGCTTTCAGAAGTATTATTGCGTTCAAATGAAAGTGACTTAGGCAAGACTTTCTTGCCTGTGTTCTTCACAAATATTGATGGGTTAGCCACTGTTTTAGCTAACTTGTGGTGTTGTGAAACCAAAGATGACCAAATAAAATCGTTTCTGAGCTACTCCAGATACTCCTCTCAGAGTCTGGTGAAGACTTGACCTGTCAGCTCCAGTTAACCTTTATGTTTGCAGATCTATGTGGATTTTTAAAAACGGGATGACAACAGACATTTTTATTTGTCACAAATGGTAATGTGTCAAAACTGAATTAGAGTCAAATTCTCAGTAAGGATCACTTTGAAATTTAGATCATATTCCCTAAATGTTTTCCAAAACTTACTAATAGTGTGCCTAAAATCATCTTGTGATTAAAAAAAAAATAGTATTTACACAGTTCCTTCAGTTGATTTTTTTCTTGATGAAGAGAATGTCTTTTTCGTTTCCATAGATTCAGTATATTCTTATTTACATTTCTTAAATGCAAAACAAACACAGGTATAGATTTAAATCTTGATATCTTCAATCTGCATTCAAACCAATTAATGACATGGGAAAAAAAAAACCAATCTATCTCAGTGTCATATGCTTGATACTGAGTATTGGCACTTCCAAACTTCACTGTGATACAGTGAAGATGCCATTTGCTTTCCTGTATGACACTGAGTTATTTTCATCTGTAAATCAAGAAATGCAACATTTATCAGACAGATATTTTGGGATAAACATTTCTGCTTGTAGTAATAAGGGCAGAATTTTATGTAAACACAAGAAACACATTTTCATTGGCATTTTTATGCCATTGTCTGGTGAACCTCAATTTGAGACTAGATTTTATAAGGAAAGGAAAAATAATTCCTGTTTTACTATTTGAATTATTGCTGAATGGAATTTTAACTCCCAAGTCAAATTAGAAAACATATTCTCTTGTAAAATATGATTGCAGAGAGGAGTTTTTAAATGCCCCCTGCATCAATGGTTACTTGTCAGCCTACCTTGGCGTGGTCAACACTAGTTCTTTTTCTTTCAATGATAAACCCAGACCTCATCAACCTTCTTCTTCAGCCTACAATACTTCCCTCTTAGCAAGTGATTTCAGCTTCTCTGGTCTCTGGGTATATGTTCTGTTGTGTTCCTTACTTCCTGATACATGCAGACTCCATGCCCTACCTCACATAGAAACTTCCTGCCTATCCACCCATACAGACTCCGTGCTCATCCTCCCATACTCCATGCCCAACCTCACATTCTCTTATTAATAAAAGACTAACATTCTTTTCCAGGTTGACCCATATCCTGCACACTAGTGCTTCCCACATGGTCTTACCTCATTCTACAGATACATCCTTTCCTCAGGTCCCCCCACCACTTCTGTTTGTTCTTTTCTTGTAGCAGCCTTGTCAACATGAATAACTGAAGAAAAAAGAATGCATTTCACTTGCAAAAGTAATAAAATTAATCTTTCTTGACACTTATCCTCTCTTGTGTCTTTCAAATGTCTGATACCGTTAATCTGTGCCTGGTTCTCTTATTTTTCTTACTTCACCTCTTTAAAACTCTTCAATCTACCCTCTGTCTTTCACCACTGCCCTGAAAGTCACTCTAGTGACAGAATCACCCCCTACCTGCCTCATCTATGAAAGGCGTTCTTCCCCCAGGCTGGCCTGTGGTTTGCCCTCTTGCCACCCTTGCAGGGCCTTTCTCCTCTCTGGGCTTCTCCACTGGCCGTTGCTGGGTTTCCATAATTTTCTGACCCTTCCAGGCTTTTCAGTACTCTTCCATTCCCACCACCACTA